CATTCTAGAGATAGACTTAAGCAAAGTGTACCCATGGAAATAACAAAGAGAATAAAAGATAATTTTACCATCTGTGCTTCATCTTAATTATGCACTTCAATAGGTGGCCATTAAAACTGAATATACATTTCCTTTTATTGCAGCATGTCAAAAACATGCAAGTAAATATCCAATAACCAGTTATTCGTGTTGCATCCTACATATGCAACTTTAAAAAATAAAATGAAGCTACTTCATTGGGGATGCTCACACATCAGGTTCCTAATGTTAGTTACTTGGCTTAGCTTGACTCTTGCTGACGCCTCTCCCTATTCATATTTATGTACTTGCTTCAGCTCTCATTAAAGACAGTGCAGTGTAAATTGTTGGACTAGGAGTAAGGAAACAAAGATGCTAATTCCCCTCAGGTACAGAAACCAGCTGGGTGATCTTGGGAAAGTCAGACTCTTCATCAAAATGACTGACACTACCATTGCTACATCATGTATTGACAGCTTCCCTGTAAACCAGAAATGTGCAGTACAAAAACAAGCAGACACTATATCCTTGTGGGACCACACTAGGAAAACAACAACTTCAGATCTCATGGCATTCAGTTCTGGTGTCACACGCTTTTAAAAAATACGTTTGTGAGCATTGTATTTAATGTCACATTCCAAGCTATTGCTTTTAGATAACATTATGAACTACATCTCTAATCACCCCCAGTAACCTAGCACTCTGGGAATGACATAAGTTGTAGTCCATGTGGGCAATGGGATGCATACTATACATGTCTCCTATTTTAAGCAATTCGGCAGCATATGAGATTGCTGCATTTATTTATCTATCAAATTTATTCAACCACCCACCTCACAAAAGGCAACTCTGGCCGCCATATAATTGAATAAAACAATATTAAAAAAACAATAACTATAAAAATCATTATTAAACATTAACATTAAAAATTTAAATATACAGAACAAGGCATGGAGAAGATGAATATATCAACCACAGAGGAGCCATTTAAGAATGTTTCCGGTTCTGCATTTAAATCCCATGGAAACCAGGGATGTCCAATCTTGGCAATTTTAAGACTTGTGGATTTCAACTCCCAAAATTGGCTAGCTGGGGAATTCTGGGAATTGAAGTCCACAAGTCTTAAAGTCGCCAAGGCTGGACATCCCTAATGTAAGCCATTCCTATTTGCAGAAGCTAATTCCCTCTCCTTTTCCGTAAGCTTCAATAGTTCAACCAAGATGAATAAGCAATTCTGGAGAAGAAAACTCTCTAGACCTGACTTTTCCTATACATTGGACAACTGAGGCTGTTTTGACAAGTTTTGACCCTCTGCTTTCTCAGCACTTGCACTCAGTCCTGACAGGTGGAGGAAATAGGAAACAGACAAACAAATTCTTCTCGGTTCTGAGAAAAACCCCGTATCATACCAGAGACCCTCCATTCCCATCAAAGGTCCTCCATTACTATCAAAGGAGCTCACCTGTATTCTTTGTAAATTGAGCAATAACAAAGTATAATAATGATTAAGATGATGACAAGGATATCATAAAGATCAATAAAATCACTTGCCTATCACAGTGCAACATACTTTCTGGTGAATAAAGTAGGTCACAGCTGCCATTTCAGGCTGAACAAACTTTCTCCAGAAATGTAGACGCAGGTAATATCTAATATAGCATAATGTATTCAATATTAAAATCAATAGACAGAATGGCTTGCTCAAGGCAATGAGAAGAGTGAGATAACTGTTTTTGTCTAGGCCAAGCTAGGTTAGCCACCATAACTCTTGCCTTCATAATCTTATTAACTGGATCATTCTAATTTGCTTCACTGGGTCCATCTTAGATGATGATTCAGAAACTACAAAATGATATAATTTGCTAAATAGGTAAATGGTGCTGCTAAGGGAGACCATGTTACATTGATTCTTAAAACTTGTAAGTACAGACTGCCTACGAGGGGGGCAAGTTAAGGCTTTACTGGCTAAATCCTTAAAAGATCAATTCTCCTAATATCATGGAATAAATCAGACAGATAGGCCTTGTTCACAGTTTTATCTAGGGGCTTGGCCCATAATGCTAGGAGAGGACTTTCTTGATGATTGCCCAATTAATGACACTCTCCTCTTCTACCATAAATATGGCTAGTCCATATACTATAAAGCTTCAAGGGAAAGTCCAAAACAGGGTTTGCTGAAGAATTTAGCAATGTCACCAAGATATTATGGATTATGAGTATTTCCAAGGAAGCAATATTCTTACTGGGCTTTCCTCTCTATATGTATTCCAGGTTTTGTGTACTTTTCTAAGCTCTTTCTGCTAGGAGAAACAGTATGAAATCAATAATAGATTAATCCAGTAGCCACTAGGCTCAAAGAGGTTTTGCCACAATACATTTAATGTGTTATACGACATTATTTATGCCATTGTGAATAATGCCCTCCCCTGCTTTTTTCAGGAATTATGAATTCAAGATGCTTTTTCAGGAATTATGAATTCAAGATGCCCTCCCCTGCTTTTTTCAGGAATTATGAATTCAAGATGCTTTTGTCAAGATTCCCTTCTGCACCTCTTTTATATAACAAAGGAAATTAGAACACTGAGAAACAACAGACTTCAGATAATTTTTTTTAGGATTCCATTAGGCCCCATAGAAGTATACAAGGAACCAATTTCCTACTTGGACTTTTCCCTTATGGTAAGGTTTTCTTTCGCGTCCTTTAATAATTCTCAAATTGAGGAATATGGGGGGGGGGAGAGGAGTGAAAGTTACTTTGTTCTATATTTGTAACCCTCGCCTTACACCACAAGGATTACACATTAGCATCAAACCTTCCAGAGTATTCTATGACAAATGGGCAACGTGTCAGCAGGTTGGAAGCTAACTACATTAAAGAAAAAAATAGATCATCCTGTAATTCCAAAACATAGCAGTGGCCATGGGAGATAGAGGGAAAAGTTCACAAGCAGTTGTTTTAGAAGGGAACAATACTGCCTGGAATTGTAACCGAGAAGAAACTTCTCAAAAATCGAGCTACAGATCTTGCTAGTAACCTCCAAAATAAATCTGTTCTTTTCATAAAAAAAGAAAGGCTGAATTCTTGTCCAAGATACTTAATGTTTCTTAGGTCTGCCTCATCTTTCTCTCAAAGCAAAAACAGACATGCTTTTGAGCTATAAAAATATTAACTATAAATAAGTACTGTACCCTGTTCTTTCAAAAACAATGCAGATGGGACTGATGTAGTCATTCACCCGTCTCATCCAGATATTAAATAACAATCTCAACCTCTCATCTCTGGTCACTGTGCAAATCAAAACAAACCATGGTTAATCAATATCTACCCAAATTTAATATACACAGTTTATTTGCTTGATTTATATTCCTCTGTTGTGAAGAAGATTGAAGCCATTTTTTATATCTTCCTTTTTTGTCTGCAAATGCTTTTGATCCCTTCCCTGGAGGCACTGGAGGAAAGAAGACAACTGGAGACTCATTTATGTAATGTTATATAATATTTCTGAGGAAAAAAAGTGGAGGTAAACAGGCCTACATTCTCCTCCCTCTGCCATACCATGGTGCCAAGCACAATATTTTCTTAAAAGAAATAAGAATATGGAGAAAATTGGCTATAGAACCCCTTCATGCAATTTGCATGTTGATTCCCTTGTTGTTCCTGAGCCTACTGAACTACAGTCCCGAAAAACCGGATATCCCAGTAAGCAGATATCTAAGTTTAAAAAAATATTTATTAAAATTTGTACTATACATGTCAGGATATACAGGACATTTGGGAAAATATGGCAGAAAACATCAAGGGTGAAGAAAGGAATTGAACAGCAAACAGTAAAAAGGAAACACTTTAGGGTAGCCAACATATACTCCATAGACACAAACACATACATTTCCATCACCTAGCTCCTACTAATATAACCACTGCAAACTAAGGCTCCCCCTTAGTTTATGTTTAGTGAAATTCCAATGGGAAATTGCAAAGTGAACAACAAGGAAAAAAAAAAGATAGTTCTTGCTGCTTGCTGGGAAAAGCTTGAAAACACCCCTCAAATGATTTAAAACAATTACGAAAACTTTTTATATTCCTGACCTTAACAAAATATCATGTGCTGTGGGGAAAACATCATGTAATACTTGTAGCATAGATTTGTTTCCTTAGAGCCTGAATACAATGAACATGTCTACTCTACAACAACATTTAATAGGAATCTATCATTAGTGTAAATAAATCAGTTGGACACCTGGAAGAGCATTTATTCTTGCCCACCTATCTCCCTTTGAGATAAAATAACTATGACAATTATTATTTCTCATAACCAGATCTGAGGAATTATGTCCTGTATATGTATGCATACATTCCATTATCTCCCTCAAATAATACAATGATTCATATCATAATATACATCAGAGCACAGCAAATACCTTTTTAACCTACAGCACTGACTGGGTATTGCAATGGTCTGACTCAATAGTTAGACTCATTAATACTTCTTAATAATTATAATGTATAAAATATAATTTGCTTACTTCTGATATATTAGTCGGAGGGCAAATATGTTACGTGGTGTATAACATGCGACAGTGTGAATCCAGCTAAACTTGTCTTTAATAACAAGCTAGGATAACAAGTGTAAACGCCGCTAGTATGAGCGAAGTATTAAAACAAGTCCTCCTTTCGCAAAACATTTTTTTTTCCTGTCCAGTTTTTTTATCTGATTTTGAAAAGAAAACAAAAAACCGCACCGGCTTTGTGGATCACATACACTTCACACTTCAGCACACCAGAATCTTCCCGAAATAGATACCCTCCCGATCCAACACGTGAAATAGCAAGGCATCCTGGAGGAGGGGAAGGGGGGCTGCGGGATTGTAGTCTTGACAGCGCCCAGGAGCTGGAAAAGGAAGAGAGGGAAGCTGCCTCTCGGATGACGGGCGCTTCCATTTCCCCCCCACCCGGTTAGGAAAGATGACCCGCGCTCCCTTACCTAGGCAGGCATCCGTAACCAGGGCTGTAGCCGTCAGGGCTCCGGCCGAAGCGCCATAAATGTTTTTGGCATTCGCCACCAAGAAGGGGGCATGCTCTCGAAGGCAGCTGGCCACACCGACGTGGTAGATCCCGAGGAATCCGCAGCCGGCGAAGGAGATATTCCAGGTGGAGCCCGGCGGGTACATCTCCTCGTCTCCCCGCCACCAACTTAATCGCACGCCCGAGAGGGAGGCGCGTGTGGTGGGGGGAGACCACGGCTGGGAACCGGAGGGCGCCCGACCCGGTTATGTGTCCACAGGCGCGAAGCCTCGCGGGCAGGACAAGGCAAAGAGGAGGCTCGGAACAGCTCCCGGACGAGCTGCCCTTCTCGGCCGCCGCCGCCGCCGCCGAGCTCTCGTTCCCCTCGCCCTCCGCGCTGCTCGGTTGCCACCCGCCTTTCCCCGGCTGCCTTCGCTCTTCCTCCAATCGCCTGCGCCTAATCGGCGACAGCTCGCAGAGGAAACGTTATATGAGGTGCGTGCCTGCTTGCGGCGGGGAGGAGGAGGAGGAGCTCGGGGTTGTGACAACCTCCCCTACTCAAGCTGGCAAGGGAGCAAACAAACAAGCAGCTCCAGCCCCGGCTAATGGCTGCTGCGTAGGTAACACCACCCAGCCCGGGGCGGAGTCCGGATCCTAGAAGTCTGCAAGAGGGAGGGAGGGAGGGGAGGGGAGTCCTTTGGGGACTCGCCGGCGGGCGGACACACCGATAGGGGTGGGGGAATTCTCAGAAAGCCGGGGGCGTTCCGAGACAGCAGCCAATAAGGGCGTGCGTGGGGCAAGCTGGGCAACCTGTATTCCTCGGAGTTGTCGCTGGGGCTGCCGCACCTCGCGACTCAGAGAAGCGTGTTAGTGGTACCTTTTATCTCCACCCCCCCCCTCTCCGGGGTCCTGCTTCCTAGTGTGAAGGGCTTCCACTGTTATGCCTTGAGCGCATTGTGACGTAAGCAATGGAAGATAAAAAGTGCGTGGTTTGTGCAGAGGGAGGACTAGTGTTTACCTTCTTTTATGTTTCTCGAATTGAACGAAGTAGGGTATACTCTCCCCATCTCTTCCCAATCCTTACAGATAATCTCTACTTCCCCCACTACTGGGCAAATTCGATTCCCGGTAGCTCTAGAACAGTGGTTCTCAATCTATGGGTCGGGACCCCATTTGGGGTTGATCGACCATTTCACGGGGGTCGCCAAGCAAGGCTGTCAGCCATTTTTTTTTGTCCACCATTTTTTCCCCTTTTCCGGCGGGTGCCTTACCTCCCTTGGGCTGGGCCAGCTGGTGGTCGGCCTGCTCCGTCTCTGCCGCTTGCCAGCTACGCCTCAGCCGGCGCAGGGGGCGGAACCACGCATGCGTGGCGCTCCCGGGCAGGGAAAGTCCTCGACTTACGACCGGTTGGGTAGTCCTCGACTTATGACTGGTTTAGTCCTCGACTTACGACCGGTTGGGGTCCCGGCATTAAAAAGGTTGAGAACCACTGCTCTAGAAAGCCTGGCCGTGAGCAATACCGTATCTGTAGGTCAGCAATACCTGGAGAGTTGCAACAAGAGGGCCTCCTGGATGGAAGAGAATTGCCTTTAAGCAAAATCGAACCGTTTTCTGGTGGTTAAGGGCTAATCCCAATTAATCGTACCAGTGCTTTTTTTTCTTAAAAAAAAAAAAAGTGCCGGAACTCACACACATCATACAACCCACCTTGCCTACCCTACAAGGTTCCATCCAAAAAAGGTGCAGGAACTCCCTTCTGGGCATTCTATGAGAAAAAAAGCCCTGAATCTTACTATGAATCGCACTGGGTACATAATGATAGCAGGAAATAAACATGCCTAGATTAGCTTTGCAAAGTAGTATAAGATCTTCTAGCACAGAGTACATCATGTACTTAACATTGTGACATTCATTAATGAAGGTAGGGGAAGAGCTGTGTTGGTCTGTGCCCATAACACAAGCAAACTCTAATTAAGCTGCATAAGCTTGAAGGTGCTACCAAACTTAATGTCCCCTTTTCTGACATATTTACTATTGTTAGTGTCCATGTTTGTCAGATAGAAGGACAAGTCTAACTGGATATTGTGGAAGGTGCTTACAACATATTAGTGCAGCAGGCATGCTGGCTGAGGAATTCTGGGAGTTGGAAGTCCACAAGTCATAAAAGGGCCAAGTTTGAAGACCCCTGTATTAGTGGAAACAGGCAGGAGAAGACCAGCTGCTTTATGACTACTAAGTGATCTCTGCACTTTATAGATCGGCAGTAAAATAAGTCATGATTGAAAGCACAAGACTCAATTTTCCTGGAACTCAGAAGTACCAATCTGATTCAGAATCCTCATGCAGCCCTGAAACACAATAAATTATTGTTTGTAGAATGAACCATAATTATCACAGTTCACATAATACATTCCTAAGCAGAAAGGTATTATAGCTTAGTGAGATACGTGAACCACCAATAACAGACTTAGATTAGCCTCCTTCAAGTAATTGTGAAGGTTAAATTGAAAAGAATCATATATACGAGTTTGAGACCCTGTAAAAAAAGATCACCTTAAAGTATAATATTTTTCCAACTCAAATATTATTTTAATATAAGAAAAAAAGAACCATCCTGTTATTTCAACCCAGCTTTGGAGTACAAGGTTTAAAAATGGCTCTTCAGTCTAATCTTACAACCAAATACTGAGATCTAGAATTTTACTAGAAACCCAGCTTTTAGGGCAGGGGTGTCAAACTGCCGGCCTGCGGGCCAGTTTCATCATACCGGAGCCGCGCCCACCCCATTGCCGGCAATGGCGAAAAAGCTCCGATACATTGTGCGACGTCACATGACGTCGCGAGTTTGACATGTCTGTTTTAGGAAATAGGGGATGGCAAAGGGGTCATTATGTCATTATGTTCACCTCATTCAGTAATTGCAGATTGATGCCCTAAGATATTATCAAACCATTTATTTTATTCGGCTTAAAGGAAGACTGGGTTTTTTCCTCTGAAAATTGGAAAAGAGCCTTTGATTTGTTGAGAAAAAGATAATGAAAGATGATGACAGTTTTGTTTTGCTCTATGTTCTTGTCTTCCTTTTTCCGGCATTCAGAGAAATGCTTGTCAGAGGTGATGTATTTAGAACAAAAATCTTCTACTTGGCTGATCCAGAAGCTAGAATCTCTCTTGATGGTTTCCCCCACTTACAGTTCCTCAGGGGATTGTTCCTACGCAATCAGAGGGGGTGAAATGGAGATCTATAATTTCCATGTAAACCTAATCTTTTTTTTCCAAGAAAAGACTGAAATCCAGGGGGAATCTAACTTTTATTTTATTTCTTGAAGATTATATATGGTTGAAGGAATAGCATGGCATAGTTCTTCATAACTGAAATCACTTATTGAGTTTTTGAGAAATTCCATAATTAAACCCAGGTAGAATTAAACTAGTTACAAATGAGTAGCATTGAACTGCAAAAAATTTCCATGATGTTTTATAAAGTATTTTTGAAACTCCACTGTTTTAAAAGTAATTATTATTCAGCCTCTAGCCATCTCTCTTTTTAGTTAGATCTTAATAAAATTGGAAGCTTGAAGCAGTGATAGACCTTAAAGCAGAGATCCCCAAACTTCAAGCTATGGATACCGGTTTGTGGTCTGTTAGGAACCAGGCCGCACAGCTGGAAGTGAGTGGCAAGCAAGCAAAGTTGTACATCTTGGGATCTAGATTGCACATTCCTCCCCCCACCATGGAGAAATTGTCTTCTACAAGACCAGTCCCTGGTGCCAAAAAGGCTGGGAACCCCTGCCTTAAAGCAGTGATACTCTCCACAGACCACATGTGGACCACTAATTCCATGTTCTCATCTTTAACCTGCTATCAAAAATATATTGTTGGCAGTCAGATCCTGCTGGAGGTATTCCAATGTTGGTTCCACAATAGATAAAGCTTTCTTCTTATATGCAATAAATACACTTTCCATTTATGGTTTCCAATATACCCCTGGAATAAATCATGTCTGAAGTGAAGGCAAGTCAATTTAAAGAGTGGGCAGAGTCAGTTAAGATTTTCCCTCTTTTTGACATGTGCTTTTAAAAAGTGACCGCTCCTCTCTATTTAGTGTGGGTTCTTTTTCTTTCATCACAGGAGAAAGGAATTTCCTGGCTGGACTCTACAAGATAAGAACCCACCACTCAGTCCTGCTAAAACTAGTGAATCAGAAGTAGTAGCTATCTAGGAAAATGTGGAGATGAATCAGGTGAATCAGGATAATTAAAATATGATATTAGGCGTCGATCTTAGCTACTGGTTTGTAACCTTACTTTTATTTTATTTTATATACAGATTGTGTGTTTATATAGGAGCTTCTTTCTGGCAGAACATTTTCCTTTCTTTCCTCATCATAATTTTCATGCTAAACTGATTCCTTAATTGTTAATATATATATAATAAACAAGTGTACATTTTACTAATAGTACATGATTCTGCAAGAGAAGTAACCTAATATGCCTTGCAGCTCTGAGTAGAAATGAGAAATGGAATAAAAAGCTGGAGGATCTTCCTCTTTCTCCACCAAAGGACAAATGGGGTGGAAAATCAAATAAAAAATATGTCTGAGATGGTACACAGATCTTGTGGGCCCATGGTAGCATCTCAAAGGAAAGAGAAGCAGCAGTGGGAGACAGTCATGAGAAGGAACTAGAGGGGTTAACTCTCCACACTCCCACACATGAAAGTGCTGTCACAATGTCCATCTGGTAATAAAGGAACTGACTTGAACCAACAATTAGTTCTTTGGAAATGAATGAGCACTCAAGGTAGTACTCCTTAGTTGAGATAAATATGGCTCAAGCTAAACAAACCAACCAGAATACTGAATGAACAGGCATTGCAGCAATGAAAATGGATCACGTAGCCTGTTTGTTTGTATCTAGAAAAGGTCACAGCTGGTAGAAAATGCTGTGTGCCACTTGGTTCTCATGAGGCAGTACTGGATCTAAGAGCACTTCCATGATGAACACTTTGTCTTTCTGTGATAATTCTGGACTGGAGAATGATATATCTGCCCTGGCTCATACTCATACCGATAGGATTCCAGTACCTGTTTTGATTCTCATCTGGCCTATTTTTCCATCCAGAAGATTCCTGAAGATTATGAGAGATGTTTGTGCTTGGGCGATGT